TGCTTTGTTATATAAACTTCAGCCAGCCAGCCAGATGGAGCTTCAAGATCTGAACTGCTAAAATCCAAATAGCTATTAAATAGTAGAAAAGAGATAGGCTAGGTTGAAACCTGCTAAACTGCAGTTTTAATCATAGTTCATTCAAATCATAGTAGTATGGTTCAGACATCAAATTGAGCCATAAACTATGGTTTATAAATTACAGCAGATCAAACTATTGAGTCTGAGCTGCAAAACCCAGACCATCATTTGATGGCAGCAAAGAGGTAGTTTTCTGTCTCTTGGCCACCACCTCATGGTCATGTGGGTTTTTGCTAGCTAAATCTAGTGATCCTAGCTATACCACTCCCTAAACCAGTGGTGGCAAACCTATGGCACGGGTGCCAGAGGCAGCATTCAGAGCCCTCTTTGTGGGCACGCACACCATTGCCCCAGCCCCGCCACCCCTGTGGCCCCCTCCTCACCAGCAGCCTCCCCAGAGGAGAGTCGCCCCGGGTGCAGCCTGCGCAGAGCAGTGCAGCCAAGCACATAGCAGCCAGGCAGCGGGGACAAGACTCCACCCTCGTGCCCCATCACGTACAGATGATGCTGCAGGGTGCAGAGGGTGTGGCCGCCATGATGCTGCTGGGCTGCCTGGGTGATCTGCTGTGGTGGGCTGTGGAGATGGTGGGTGGCCCTGCGGGCAGGAGAGGGGGATAGGACAGGGGCGAGGTGGTTTTTGGGCACTCAGTCTCTAAAAGGTTCATCATCACTGCCCTAAACCAATCAAAGCTCATTACAGTTTATCAGGACCCTATAGCAGAATCCAGGCAGAAGGGCTCCAATGTCACCTGGAGATTCAGTTTTGGGCTTTCTGCATGCAAAGCAATGACTTTCTTCCTTGGATCAAAAGTAATAAAAGCTGCCTCCCAATTTCAGCTTTATACTGACATACTTGTGACCTACTTTCTGCCACTTGCTCTTCTACCCATCACTTGTTTGACCAGAGAGCTCCAATTGCTCTGTTCTCCATTCCTGCATCTTGATATACTCTTTTTTCATAGAAATAGGGCCTCCTTAAATAGAGCTCTCTCCTTCTGCAAATCTGCTGAAAAAGATTTTCCTTCCTGATTTATCTAGGATGTTTGGAGGTTTTATGATTGCCATTTACTGGTTTATTTGGGGATTTTAATTCATCTGCTGTGATTTACCACACTGCTCAGCAGCAACGCACCAAGCTTCCGCCGCTGCAATGTTCAAGTTCTATTAATGCAAAGAAAACCCTATGCCTTTTCCCCAGCAGCTTTCTCGAATTAAAGGATAGGAGTCCTTTTTTTTTGTTTCAAAGTAAAAATGAGAGCATCCCCCCCCCCTGAAAGAGGTAGAGGGAATGGAGATGGTGAGAAAAATGCTCAGAAAATAATTCTACACTCTGAGATGCTTGTGAGCAGGGAAGGGTGCCTTTTTGTAAAAGGCAAGATTAATTATGTGAATAATAGCACACCCTGGGAATTGTGTACTAAACAGCAGTTTATAAATTCACCAAATAAGTATGAATAAGACACATGTCCCCAATTCACTTTCCAAAGTTCAGTCTTAACCATATGACCATGTGCTCAAGGGGTAGAAAGGCACAGGAATTGAAATAGTAAATAATAAACTCTGCTACACAAGAAGGTTGTAATTTTATAGGCATTTACCTGGGCGTAAGTCACATTGACTTGAAACAGTGTTACTGGCTGGCTGCAGAATTCTGAGAGTTGAAATCCATATATTATGAAATTGACAAGTTTGAAAAAAAAACTATTATAGGATTTTACACAGGAGTAATCCATACTGAATTTGGCAAAATGTAGTGTCTAGAACCGTGCAAGTCTTGTTTGCTATTTCAGTTTTCATTTAATTTCTTGCTTGTTTAAATTTCTATTGCTCCCTTTTGCAATAGAATTTCCTTTACTCTCTTAGATTGTCCACACATGCATATTCCTTATTTGATGTCCCGCATGTATGAAAGCACATCAAAAGGCACCTAGCTCTGTTCCCACATTCTTAAGTGAGCAGTGGGGGATTTAATATACTGTAAGAATATTATAAAAAGGACCAATTGAGCAAGGCATTGAATCTACAGAGGATTAAATTTTGTTTCAGATAGACTAGGATGAACTCTATCAGGGTAGAAACTCCAAATCTCAGTCAGTTGCTCTGCTTTGCCTACTGTACTGCTACTGGGTTCAAATATTGATTCTCACACAGTTGCTATTATAGTTCACAGTTTACTCAAGGTCAAAGAGATAACAACAGTCAGAGCACGTAAAACAAAACAGAGTCACTGACTGATGCTTGCCTAAAAAATAGCATAAAAAATTGTCCCAGTCAGTCCAAAGTTCCAAGAGTTGGGTCAGTGGTCAACCTGACCAAAGGTCAGAATTTCAGATGCAGAATCCACATGATTTGTCATACAAGAACCAGAGATCAGACAGTTGTTTCCAGCAAAGGAACATGGATCAGGGTTGCCTTTGCAGCCAGCTGTCATTAACCAAGATATTTATTTCCTTCTTGGAAAGAAATCTCTCTGTTCTACTCTCCTCTTTACTTACTGGGTACAGGGGCTGGGAGGTCTTATGTCATCCTTATCTGATTCTCCAGCTGTCCAGGTAGTGCCTGCTTTTGATCAGCCTCATGTGGTTCTTGGATTTGTGTTTCCTGAGGCTGACATTACATAGGTTCTGCTCTTCTTCACATGTAGGGTCAGCATCTGAGTCCTGACTCATAACATCTGCCTGATCCTTCAAGAAAAAGAGATAGTGAGAAAGAGAGATTGAAAAGAAAAACATTTCCAATGAAGGCCTGGCCACACAAAATGTATCTCCCAAACGCCGCTTGATTTCTATGGTCAAATCACACCTACTTCTGTCTGTCTGGCCAATGGGGAAGGAGATATTATTGGCAGTAAGTCTTGCCAATATTCTCCTGGTGCATAGGTTCATGGTATTCTGGACAGTGGCTGGGTTCTCAATTGCCAGAATGGAGATTATTAATGCATTTAGTGTGATTTTCTGCTGCCAAAACTCACCAACAAAATTTTACTGGCCCGTTGTCTGATTCTGTCCTGTCGACAGAGATGTTTCTTTAAAAAAATATGTGATTCGTTCAATGACCTCCAGATAAGTGAAGCAGATGTAACATGTTGAATCTGGAACAAAGACCCTAGCAGTTGAAGACATTAATAGATTACAGATATCTTACTTCTTCCCTATAATAACTTCCTGTTCCACCTGACATTTACAAATTCAATAAAATAAATAGGAAGACAACATGCTGTGGAAGACTAGCCTCTCCTATTTCAATAGATATGTTTGGGCCACACAAATATCTCACTTAAACAGGGTATCCAGAGAATGTAGTCAAAACAGTCAAGAAGATCTATGCTTGAAGACCTATTTGTTTGTGTATGTAACATGCACTGTGCTCATAGTAAAAGGATCTAGTTTCAAATGCACCATTGTGGCCACCATCTTTTGACTATATCCTGTGGACTCCTTTATTTAAAAGACCTAATTGAAGAAGGAGGTCACTAATTCACTATTATGACTAGGCAAACCTTGATGGCATCTATTTTGTAAGTATATCTGTCATATTTTCTAAATTCCAGAAGTGCTCTAGACCAAAAGATTCCTTGTTCCTGAAGTAAGCTAAAAGTAGTTTAACTATTACTTGCTTGCATTTGGCTGGCTATAAAACCAAAACTGTCTATTGGCTTATTGCTCTCCAGAGGCTTTCCTTAAAGGATATAATTGGTGTCTATTATAAATAGGATGCTGGCCTAGATTGAATTTTGCTCTGATTCAACACAGTTCTTATGGTATGAAATCTCTTTGCTCATCGCATCTCCTTACTGATGTCTTCGCATTTGGTTTAAAAATATTGGGCAGTTCCTTATTAGCCTCATGCTTGTTTACAGGTATCAATGGTATAATCAGAATCTGCAGTAAAACAGGAAGTTTCAACCAGTTAAGCATAAAACACTGATCAAAGTGAATTCAGCATTCAACTCCTGTACTGTAATTGCCATTGTTCATTGTCTGAAGGCTGACCTTATATAGTCAAAACAGAATCATCCATCAGTGAATGACATGAAAATTATAACTTGCTCAGGAGAAATCCAGTTTTTTTGTTAAGTGTAAATGAATAAATATAATAAATAAGAGAGAATAAAAAATAAAAAAAATAGTTCTTGGGAAATTTCATGGGCTCAGGAAATAGCTATTATTTTATGTATTTATGAAATTTATTGAATGAAATTTATTTCATTCTTATTCTGATTTTTGCATTCTTGTTTTAATATTCTGTAAGCTGCCTATTATCTGGTTGGTTTCGGCGGTCAGATAAATATCATAAATAAATAATTTAATAGATAAAATTGAATATTTTATAGAGAGTAGGGGAAAATGATGGAAAGCAATTCTGAGAAGAGAGTCCAGATGCTTGTCTGATTCCTTAAATTAGGTCTAATATATCAGGGCTGCAAAATCCAGACAACCACTAGATGTGTCAGCAAAGGGATACAGAACAGTTTGATTCTTTCCTCCTCTCTGGTGGCCATCCAGAATTTTGCATATGGTTCCATATCCGGTTAGAAGCGCTTCACGTACACATTTTAGTGTCACTCTCACATTGACTATTATGTGTTATTTATACTAAAACTACTGAAAAAGACAGAAGCCAGTTAGTTTTGCTTTCAAAAATATATTGTTCCGTTTGCTGCTTTAAAAATCATCTCCCTCTCCTTTTCTCTCTCTGAATGCATATATGCAAGTCGGTGAAGTGTGTGTGTGTGTGTGTGTGTGTGTGTGTGTGTGTGTGTATGTGTGTGTGTGTAGAGGCAAGCGCATCATAAAACTGGATTACCGTATATGCTTTTATCTTCAGCTTCTTGCCTGTTTCCTTCTCTTCTCGTCTTTAGGGGGCTCTGTGGAAGGTGAAAGCTGGGAGTCAGGTGACGGTCTTGCACCACGCCACCGCTGACTCTATGGTCCTGAGCTGTCCAGCACTTCAGGAGCCGTTCACTGGGGGATGCTCCGAAAGAGAACGGCAGGGCGATTGTCGAAAAGCAAGGTTGGCCGGAGAAGAGGTCGGAGCCGGAGCTGGAGCTGGGGCAAGAATCCGAAGAAAGGCAGAAGACAGAGAAGACTGAGATCCCGGGGAATCCAGAAGGGAGAAGAAGCTGGCAGGAGAGAGGCGAGGCCAAACCCAGCTGCAGTGACTGGCACGGACACAAGATCACAAGGGCGCAGAATTCCACAGCAAGGTATGATAAAACAGGAGAGGAGTGGAGGGGGACATCCTTGTTTGTCTGGGCCGAGGGGGAGGAAGATGGGGACTGTGGGGAGAGAGCTGGATCGAGGGTCACAGCAGACCGCGAAGCCCTGCAATTGCCTAAGGGAGCCGCGGCAGTGGTGGAGGAGGAGGTGCAGGAAAGCTTAGCAAGAGGCTTTTTGGCTGCAGTCCCATCTGTTGTATCTGTTTGATTGGTCTTGGTATTCTCTCTTTGCAAAGATCAGTGGAAAGAATAGGAGCTTCGTAAGGGGACGGGGGAGGGGGAAACAGCAGAAGGTGGATAGCGATTATGCCTCTTGGGAGAAGGAGGCAGATGAGAGATTCAGCATCCCTCAGATTTTCTCAGCGTTATTTGTTTTGTTTTGTAAAGGAAGAAAACAATAACCCAAAGGGCTTCATGGAAGCTCTTGAGACTTGGCTTGATTTCAAAGAATGCACTTCTTCTCCAGTTCTCTTGTGGAGAAATTAAAAGCAAGGCATTGGTCCCTGAGATGATGGGGATGTTGACTTACAGTAATTTGACAGCTCTCTTTTGGATGGGGGAGATGGGAAAGATAGCTAGGTCTTTCTTTTGTGTGTGTGTGTGTGTGTGTGTGTGTGTGTGTGTGTGTGTGAGAGAGAGAGAGAGAGAGAGAGAGAGAGAGAGACAGAGACAGAGACAGAGAAAGAGAGACAGAGAGAGAAAGAGAGACACAGAGAGAAAGAGATTGACACAGAGAGAGAGAGATAGAGAAGGAGATAGCGCATAGTTATATGCTTTGGAAATTAATGTTCAGCAAGAGGGGAACACACACATTCCTAACATCCCTGGAATTTTACATCTTTCCATGTTATTTTTCCTAAAGATCCAGTGCTCTTATTTGATCACCACAGCCCAGGAGCAAAAAAAAAAGTGAAAGGTTTTGTTTTTTGAGGGAGAAGAAAAGAGGAACAAATGTTTCCCTAGGAGAAGATGACCTGGAGGTTTCCTAAGGGTTTTTTTCTCCACTGCCCAAAGCTTGAGTTATAGGGTGGATCACATTTCTGCAAAGGCAACAGAGGAAAGATAAGAACCTTAGTCCATTTTAGGGCATTAAGTAGCTTTTTGGAATAATTCACCAAGGATAATTTGGAAACATTCCCAAGGGATTTGAATTTGGTAAGGGATGTTGTGTAGAGATTAAGTGTATTCCTGCTTTCTGGTCTGAATGTTGTGAAAAAGTGCCCTAAGGGGAAATCCTCTTTATTTGCAAAGAGGGCACATTGTGGCACATGGAAAGTTGCACGGTAAAACAGAAGTTTACTGTAGTGGTTGCAAGAAAAGGCATAATAAGAACATCTAAGACCAGGCAAAAGTGAAAAGAAAGTATGAATTGTGCAAACAGTCCAGCCAATCAACGTGTAAGACTTTGTATAAGTATGTGAACAGAAATGAAAAAGAACCATCTGCTGATATACAGAAATAGAGAGTAGCCTGTAAATGACATAAGCTAAGTTAAGGAGATCCTTTCATCAGCATAAGATCTAAGGTTGAATCTGCGGAGCAGACTAGATTAAAATGTGAGAATTCAGCTATTGATTTCCCATACTTGTTGTCAGTCTGGCCATAAAGTTAAATCAGGACATGAGTAAGCATGTTATGTGGACATAGACATTGCATGTGAGATTTTACCTGCTTAGGATTTAATATGGGTCAGCATGTTATATACTTAACCTGGTAACCAACTTCCTCAGTTTGGGTTTTCTCAACATGTTAAACCATAATCCAATGGACTTGGTTCATGTAACCCATTGAACCACTGAGGCAAACAAATAAAAATCCACCTTGCATGATATGCATATTTAGCCACTAGATTTTTAAATGACCTGGTTAAGTGTCGTATGCAAACCAAGATTCTTAAATGCTGGAGACAGCAAATAAAAGAGGGACATAGATATTACATCCTCTGAGAGTTCTCTAGCTCACCTCATTGCTTGGATAGCTGAAAATAACAAGCTGCCTCAGGAAACAGACTATTTGCTCATCTCTAGGATGGTCCTACTCTACCTTTCCTCAACCAGTTGCCCTCTGATTATTAAGACTACAATTTGCATTATTCTTAGCTAAGATAACAACTGGCAGAATGGCTGGTTTGTGGGGATTGTTATCTTAACTATCTGGAGAACACCAGATAAGGTGGGTTTTTAAAAATTGGAAGCAGGGAAGGAGAACTGGATTCAAGTCCTTCCACTCATGCAGCGACTGGGTTTCTCTCTCATAGCCCATGGTGGTTCTAGGAATAAAAATTGGGAAATCCTCAGATGTACTACCTTCAGCTCCCAGGGGAAAAGTGTGAAATAATGGAAAGAATCATCGGCTTGCAAGACTTCCTTCTTTAGTTGTACTGAGCGTACATAAAGTATAGGATGTACCACTGAGCTATGGGCTCTTTTCCCAGCTGGGCAATTGTTTCATGTCCTGACAAATTGCATCCATTAATCCTGATAGCAACTATCATGTGGAGGCAGAGAGACATTACCTTTTTTAAAAAAGGTCCTGGCAAAGACAGGATTTGAATCAAAAACTTCCTGGCTCATTTTGTATAATTGCATTGCCACTTTTTGATGATGTATACATTATATCGGAAAAGGAATATTGTATATTCCTCCAGCCACACTGGGTCTTGCAGTCCTCTGTAATTCAGGCTGGACCAATAATAGTCACAACTGGGTAGTGATTTACCCATTTCTGCAAGGAATTTTTCATTGTGGCCATTGTGACAACTGCTTCTAACTTTTGTATCACTTTAACATGCAGAAAAATCCTTGTAAGGCAGGGGTGTCAAATTGCCGGCCTGTGGGCCAGAATGCATCAGGCCGAAACCGCGCCCACCCCATTGCTGGCAATGGAAAAAAAAAGTCACGATACTTCACGGCATGTCATGTGATGTTGCGAGTTTGACACTCCTATTGTAAGGGAAGTCAGAGGCACACCCATTTTACAGATGAGGAAGTGAGGAGGAGAGACTTTGATTGCACTGAGTGCACAGAAATGTTTTAACCTGATGGCTGCTGAATGTGTCTACTTTGTACAATACATTGTACTGTATTCTGCAGAAAAAGTACAATACATTGCACCATAAACTAACCAAAGGGTGTGAGTTCGCAGAGCACATTAAGCCATAAAAAGCTAACAAAACATAGTTCATTGTACATATACTGATACTTGGTTAAGCATGTTGTCTGAATGCAATTATCAAGAAGGAAATCTTATGTACAGTATTAGCCTCTTGAAGCAGCTGAGTGTTATATCTTTGTTTCCCTTTCAGGATAGCATTCAGCTCCCTCACCTGTTCCTATTATGTTATATTATATTTTTGGCTGCAAACAGTTTGATGATAGAGTTCTTGGCTCTGTTTTCAGTTCACAGTGAGGATGTGTTGAACTGTTGTTGATGATGCGTATGACAGTGATTAAAATCATGGTTGTATTTCATTCTCTCCCAATAGTCTTAAGCTGATCTGCATGGGTTTTGCCCATTTATCTTCAAGTAGGTTGAGGGAGTAGGTCAATAAGTTTTGTGGAGCCTGAAGGAATAATTTGAAATTGGGTGTCTCTTGGTCCATTGGACCATTATAAAATTAACCCATAGATATAGCCTTCTCCTTGTTGGCAGCTTCTAGATGCATTGTCTAAAACTCTCATTATAACAATCAGCTTGGGCTGGCATCAGTTAGAAGGAAGCTCTCATTTACAGCACCTTCCCACCAAGATAGTGTTTTCTTAACAAGTTCTAGATTTCCTGTAATGTTTCTCAGAACTCACAATTCGTGAAACTTCAGCCTCAATCCCTCCATGCCTGCTTTGCTTTTGCTCCCCCATCCTTTAAAAAATCTAATTAAACAAATTACTGAATGTCACTGCTGAGAAGGTTAATGACTGTCCATTTCCTTTTCACCAGAGGCAAAACATGCATTTCATGTCTGGGGACAGCTTTCTTTTGGATTGTTTGTCTGGCACCCACATTTTCTCTTTTCAGTGACAGACAAGCCCTTTAAAAAAAAAAAAATCTCTTGGACCTTTAAGAGCCACATCCTTTTGAAAAATTAATGGGGAGGTTTAAAGATCTAATGTATAATTCAATGCATGCATCCACACACTTAACTTGATCACTGAATTGACCCAATTTCTGAGTTTCAATAATACATAGACTCATAAACTTCACCAAGCAGACTGAAATCAAACAGTATTCGCCTTTACCAAAGAAGCCAAGGTTTAAATGAACCAAGTTTATCCCATTGCAGAAATGCAGGCGTTAGGTCTTTAGCTGAACCGATTAACTACGGGCAAACACAGTTTTGATTTACAAAGACTTTGTTGCTGATGACATTTGCACTATTTTTAGTTCTGAGATGGTTTTAGTTCTTGTTACGTTTCAAAGCACTAGCCAGAATTTAATCATTCTTGTGCTAGTTTTAGGGTTGTTTGGGATGTTAATTTAGTATTTAAGTATACAAAACTAATCTGTTTTGTTTTACTTTGCCTAAAGAACTTGTTTTAAGAGATAGCTGACAAGAATGATAATAATATATTCCTAGCTACATGGGGTAGAACAAAGCTAAAATCAAAAGTATATTGCTTGCAGGAATTGGGATTTTCAAAAAACAAAACGACTTCTCCTCCAAACCCAATATCCAGAATTTGCTCAATTCTTGCTGATTGAAAAATGAGAGTTAGGCTGTTGGAAAATTTGAAAGTGAGAAAATCAAGTCATCTGTGTGGGTATGGATGTCAAATCTACCAGATGGTGGGCAGGACATTGCAATGGAAGGCATGTCGCTTTTATACATGCTTTGCACATACAAAAAGATAGGGCTTTGAGCATGATGCCATATTTTTTGCAGGATTTGACATACACACAAACACACACTCATGCTACAGATGGTCCTGGGTGAATCACCATTAAGCAGAGTGGATCCTTAGGTGAGATATTTTGGACTTCTTCTTCCTCTT